AAAATTTACGAGTTAGGTACAATTTAAGTGAAAAAATGTGCTAAGAGCCTTTCCTTTCATATCCTCCTCTTATTTCAGGCTATAAAGTAGATATTTAATTTTTTTAATGATTACATACTGACCTAGAAGTAGCTCAAGCAATCATGCTGGCAATAACACATTTCTATTTCCTCGAATTTAACATGCGTACTAGCAGTTAAAAACGTCGGCATAAAAATAAATTAATAGGTAAGACTTTGAACTCACTCGTTCTAATTTCTGAGACTTGACCAGCATGCATTTGTGCTAGATATGATGCTAATCCATTTACGTATTGAGCATTGATGCCAGCTGAATCATATTCTCGCTATTAAAAGATTCCAATAGTTTAAATTGGAAAATACCTTCACTCACTGTATAAAGAGAACAAAAATCCGAGCAAGGCGTTGCGCTTATTGTGATCTATTCTCAAGGGTGCCCATACTCTCCTCTCCCTTGCTTCCCAATTCTACGGTGAAGTCCTACATTTTCAATTTTTCTCGAATTTAAAGGGCTTTTTGCGTTGAAAATGAATTCTTTGCAGAACATTTCGCAGAATAAGGATTAGAGCTTCGCCAAAGTTGACAACTCTGTCAATGTAAACAATTCATTGTGTTTAAGGGTCACAAGGCTCCTAACAGCTGTACTTGCAATAAAATATGCACATTCAGTTTGAAAAGTGCCTCAAATTATTTTTATTTTTATCCCTGTTTTACTTAGAAGCTAAAAAAAGTCTCGGTGAAATTATATGATCGGCGGTTAAAATATTATGCTGCCTAAAAACAACTTTTGACTTGTTTAATTTACATTGACGGAAAAAGTGTTTCAAGGTATGCGCACCCTCTTTTAACAAAATTTTCGCATTTCTTCAAGGCTCGATGCGTCAACGACATATATTCTCAAAACCTTCGTAGTGTGCCTAATCTTCCACGCGTGCCTCTATCGGCAAAAAATTCCGAGTTCATTGTCAAGTAAATTAATGAGCTATGTACGCATTGTTTGTGGCAAATATTGGAATTGTTCCGTCGTTGACTCAGCGACGAATCAGCATCCGGTACATGGACGTAGGAATACACACAATGTGCGCAGATTAGAGTCCTGAAGAAACCAACCCTGTTTACGTAAGAAGCGATCGAGTGAAATCACGACGTGCTGCGCAAAACATCAGCGTGCTCGTCAAATGTATTCCAGAAATTGTATCAAGGAGATCCAAATTGAAGTAGGATGCTCACAAAAATGATTAGGATTGAGAAAAATTTGGCTAAATTTATATTGATATCGAAACTACATAAGCAAATGTTTTGATTGTGGCACATCGGGATTTCCACTTCTTATTTACTTTTTACGAAGTCAGAGGTAAAAGTTTTGGGACGAAATTTTCAAAGAATATTCTTGGGAGGCGAAGTAAACTCACACCAAAAGAGGCAGTTATGATGGTCAATCAGCCCTTTTGAATGTGCAATTTTTTGGGAAATCTGCAACGAGCAAATAATTCAACAACGATATATGTTCTGGCCAACAAATGTCCAGAATCGGGTCAATGGTCGATATCAATCGGTCATTGTCGACTTCAGGCTGGTCATCATTGACCGTAAAATACACGCAGAATTGGTAGCTATTGAAATAAATTTGATCACAAAATAATTTAATGATAGTTTTAGCAAGCGTTTTTTTTGGAATTTTAAGCGATTGGATTTTAAAAATTATACATATAAATCATACCAAAACATTGCTTTAATGAATGAACTAAAAGAAGAAAAAAAAAGATTGACGAAAACGTGAGAGGCAGCAAACACGCGAGTAATGTTATCAAGAATATGCAGCACGGAAGAAACCTAATATTTTGTCGAAAAAAAGAAGTTTGGGAAAAATCTCACGCGATAATTTTATATCTTCGCTAAAATATAGTGCTATTAACTGACCTTTTGCCTCCTCCAGTGATTTATGCAGTACTTAATGGTTAAAACTAGTAATTCGGCAAGGCCGCCAAAAGGTCACAGTTTATCAGCTATGTGAGCCTTATCGACAGGCTGAGGCATAGACGAAAAAGTCAATGTTGCTACCACCCCCTCATTCATCGAGGAAATTCATAGTTTCAACCAAGATAATTGTTCAATTTTATATGGAATATTTTCATCCTGATAATGAGAGGTCAGAGGCATTTCAAGTTTCGGCGAAACAAAGTGCTCTCACACCAAACTACTCATGACAAAGATAGGTAATATGCCCGTTGGATGATGCAAGTCATAGACACATGTCAACAGTGGTGCCAGTAGCCATGTTTGCATACGAGCAACGCGTCAAGTTTGAAATTGGTTATAGGACATTTCGTCAACGATTTTTTGTCCGAGCACTTGTTTTTTCCAGTAGTTTAAGTCCACGCGTTTTTTCGGCAGGGGAGTTTCGGTCCACTTAAATTATAGAGACCCAAAGTTAATTGGTCAACATGTAAATACAAACAACATTTGCTCACGACGTTTTTGGATGAAAATAATGTTTTGGAAGAATGAGGGTTTGCTCGGTTTTTGTTTGTTTGATTGGCCAAACGGAAACAAATATATAATTGAGAATTTTGGCGTCAATTCCATGAGGGAAAATTTACCAAAACTCTCTACACCTCTTTGGTGCAACAGGACTTAATAATTTTTCAAGAAAATCCCATCTTCTTATACTTGAACCGGATGAACCTTTTGATTTTCCTCAGCTAAAGGCTCTTAGATTTTTCCTGTGTTCGATAACTTCGGGACGGCGCCGGCGTGCCGCGGCGCTTCAAACTACTATTTCGCCATGAAGATGTTGCACGGTATCATACAAGATTGAAGGTACCCCAACGTATCATAATTGATGGCATCTTTCAAAAGCATGAAGTTCCCTCGCAAATTAAATCGAGTGACGACGAAAAAAAGAGAGCTGTAGTCAAAAACCTTGCTAAGTCCTAGTATCTGGATCCAGTAACGTTTATCATGATTTTTGAGCTCAATTCGAGGAAAAAGTGACTTGATTTAAGCAGAAATATGCTCAAATTCGAGAGGATTTCCGAGATTTCCCATTTTCCTCCCGCCGAGAAGATTTCCTTATAAATCAATAAAGAAAATAATGCCTGTTTAGAGAAAAAAGAATGCTTAAATAAAAAGAAAAGTCACTTAGATCAAGCAGAAAACCGCTTTCATTCAGCTATTTTATTCTTGATTCAAAATAAATTCTTCTTGACGGCATACTCAAGAATGTTTCTGCCTAGATCGAACCACATTTTTCTCTAATGAAATTCAAAAATTATGCTAAACGTCATTAAATACGGATGCTAGGACTGAGTGGGTTTTTTTTAGATTTTCGCTCTCTTTTTGTAACGTAGTATCTTGATTTATTTTGCAAGGAAAGCTACAACCCTTAAAGGAAGCTTGTCATTCTTGATACGTTGGAGCGCCTTCAACCTCGTTTGATACTGTGCAACACCTACGTCTCCAAATAGTTGCTTGAAACGCCGTAGCACTCCGCGGCGCGGCGGGCGACCAGCGTGACACGCGCATAGGTGCCTACAAACCCAACAGGAATACTTCACGCATTGCGCAACGCGTGAAGTATCCCGTTAGGTTTGTAGGCGCCAGTGCGCACTCCGCTCCGTGTTAGGCTCTAATATTTAAACTAGCGGAGTCAACGTTTTCCAACTCACGATTTTGAAATGTTTACACGCTCTGCACGGATTATTCTAATTTAAATTGATGAAAAAAAAAAAGAAAAAAAAATATGTATTACAGGAAAATATAACGTGTGTTTTGAAAATATTAAGATGGTTCCGTATCTAATGCAATGATTTCCAAAGCTTTTTAATTTTTCCTTTATATTTTGTGCTTTTACTGTGCTGCAGCGTGGTGTAATCGCAACCAAACGCTCAAAATTGGACGTGTTTGACCGTAAAAGATCGATGTAAAAGTGGGTTAAAACCAAAGACTGCGTCCTCCTTGGTTTTTTCTCTCTCTTTTTCATTTTTGTATAGTTCCTTTCAACACAAGTTCCGCTCATTGAGATTAATATCGATGCGATCGCTTAGAACAGGTTTTACAAATATTTAATGTCACGTGGACGAGAGAATACTGCTACATTCTTCTAAAAAAAAAAATTATTTTTGAAAACAAACGTTTAAAAATTTTTCTTTAAAATTTCAAGACGTACTGCATAAAATTGCGAATTTTATCATAGAATAAATACAAGAAACATGCGTGTAATTTATCAAGCAATTTGTATTTTATTTACCGAAAAAAAAAAAAAATTAAAATTGATGACGTCCGAATACTCATACTACGTGTTTTGCACGACAGAGGAGCTGATTTCTCAATTTAAAGGGTCATTTGAAGAAGGGCGTAGTCATCAAATCTTCAGAAATCGAGTTTTCGACGGAATACCATTCTTTGATGGAGGACACACCTTACCACCGAGTGATTCAATGTTGTCATCGAACAAACATGCTTCCATTGCTTCCTGGCTGTCATAATACTACTGAAAATGGCAGCACTGAGCGCTTTGTAGAAGATAGGCGTACCCATCAAAATTTTAATTTTTTCTTCCCTAATTTCTCCCACACTTCTCATGTGATCGTGGTCTTATTATAGATAGTATGAAGAATATTAATTGATTTTTTCGAACAAAAGTATGAAGAATTGTTGGAGGAATTATTTTTTCTCATGTTTCCTCGAAACTTGAAACTTGACTTTAAGCTTTTCCGCCCTTCTTCAAATAAGCCGTTCAATTGATAGTGTAGTGAGAACTAGAGTCAGCAACTCAGCAATCTCCTATTTATGCTACGCTCCACACGATGAACAATGAATGGAAAGAACTGAAAGAACGAGCGCGATAAAAGACGATAGATAGCGAATCAGTTATTTATTTAATGAGGAAATACGTTTTGTGAAGGTGTCCAAAATAGAAGGTGCTATCACGTTTATTTTATGTCAAGTAATTAGGCGACTTTACGTTTCCACGCGTCACAGTTTCATGAGCGTGACTTCGGGGGCGATCATGATAAGGGCATCTGAATGGAAAACTGTTGCAGTGAATAAACTTTAAAGCGACTTCATTTGTTCCGTTGTCTCTGTGATTCTGTCACTTGGAAAATACAATAGTCGCGCGCGGGCCGGTGCTTCTTAACATGCTCGCGTTAGTCGAGTTGAACGCGTCAACGATAGAAAAATTCCCTTCATTTTGTGAAATACCTTACGCAACCCTTTCGGTCTGATATGTTGGATAGTGAGTTCGACTGCAAATAACACTTTTTAGTGCGTCGCATGATTCGTGTTACTTTCGTATAAAAAATTTGTATTAATTTTTTTGTGTATTGATTCTTTCATCTCGCTCTTCGTCTCCTTGTTGGGTCTACTCTTCTCTTCTATGTCAATCTTTCTTCTCACCTGCCTCTGTCTCACTTAAGGTAATACTTTATCTTCTCTATCTTGTTTTCTCTTTTCCTCTTCCTTTTTACTATCTCTATTTTTACAGGAATATTGCATACTTATTGTCAAGAAGGTGTTGAGCATAAAATTTAATTAAACAGGATTTTTATCCTTCGATACCTTCATTATGTTTTTCAATCATCAAAATATCGTTGAGAGACACTGCTCACAATAGTACCGAATTTTTTTCCGACAAATAATTGTGTTGATTATTTTTATATTATTATGGCTCAATTATTACATACTTATGGTATTGTAGCAATGATAGAAATTATTATAAAATTATCTTCACCACGAATAAAAGCTCACTTACAACTATAAATGGTGCAACGACATTAAATGCTGATTCCCCCGAGCTGTTACCAACTGTACTGCTACCAGCTGTATGCTCATGTCTCATTTTCCTGAGAGATAACCAGCCCAAAATGTTTCTTGAAATTTTCTGTTAATTTTTTCGCTTCTTCCAAATTTTCCCAGACAATTTAAAAGAGTTATTATGGTTATTTCTCTTTTGAAAAAATTAAGCATATTCAGAGATTTATAAATTTGCAATGGAGATTCGACTTTTTCTACTTTCATCATCAAAATAATCACTCTATCTAATCTCTTGCAATTTAAAACTCACTCAACTGCATATTTTGATTGGTTAAGACACCTATTGATTTTCTTTTATACAACTGAATTTCTATCTTGTTACAGAAATCTCTTTTTACCGGTAACCCAAAATGAACCGGACACCGACATGCCTACTCGCACTGCTGGCGCTGCTCACGGTTGCCCAGCACGCGTCGACAGAGGCACCTCTGGACTGGTGGCAAACTGACGTCATCTACCAGATCTACCCCCGCTCCTTCAAAGACAGCAACGGCGACGGCATCGGGGATCTGAAAGGCATCACCGAGAAAGCCGACTACCTCAAAAGCCTCGGGATCGGCGCCATCTGGATCTCGCCCATCTTCAAATCCCCAATGGCCGACTTCGGTTACGACATCGCCGACTTCCGCGCCATCGAGCCCATCTTCGGCACCATGGAGGACTTCAAAATCCTGAGAGACACCTTCCACGAGAAAGGCATCAAAGTCATCTTGGACTTCGTGCCGAACCACTCCTCGGACGAGCACGAGTGGTTCCAGAAGTCCGTCCAGAACATCGCCCCCTACTCGGACTACTACGTCTGGGTCGACGCCAAGTACGTCAACGGGACCCGCACGCCGCCCTCCAACTGGCTCTCCTACTTCGAGGGCTCCGCCTGGACCTGGAACGAGAACCGCCAGAAGTACTACCTCCACCAGTACCACCCCAAACAGCCCGACCTCAACTACCGCAACCCGGCCGTCATGAAGGAGATGCAGGAAGTTCTCCGCTTCTGGCTCGACCTGGGGGTCGATGGCTTCCGAGTCGACACCGTCTTCACCCTCGTTGAAGACGACAGGTACTTAGACGAGCCCCGCTCGTTCATCCCCGGCCTCGAACCCACCAACATCGGGTACCTCGATCACATCTACACCAAAGACCAACCCGGAACCTACGACGTCATCTACCAGTTCAGGGCCTTCCTCGATGAGTACGTGAAGAACAGCACGAAACCAACGACGACGAAGTTCATGGCGACCGAGGCCTACTCCACCCTGGACGACACGATGCGTTACTACGGCAACGCCACCAACAACGGCTCGCACTTCCCGTTCAACTTCCTGCTCACGACCGAGGTGGACAGGCAGTCCGAGGCAGATGTCTTCAAGAGCCTCATCGATTCGTGGTACGAGAAGATGCCCGCCGGGAGGTGGGCGAACTGGGTGATCGGGAACCACGATAAACCGAGAGCTGCCTCCCGGTTCGGGCGGGACATGCTGGACAGCATCCACATGATCCAGTTCCTCATCCCCGGGACCGTCGTCACGTACATGGGAGACGAGATCGCCATGAAGGACGCCTTCATCCGGTGGAAGGAGACTGTCGATCCTCCGGGTGTCAACAGCGGCAAGCGGCTCTACACGAGCTTCTCGCGCGACCCCGAGCGATCGCCGTTCTTGTGGGACGACACGCTCAGCGCTGGGTTCTCGTCGAACCGTACGACGTGGCTACCGATTCACCCCAACTACTGGGACTTCAACCTCGCCAAGCAGGAGAAAAGCCCCAAGAGTCATCTTAGTATCTACAAGCGGCTGCTCAAGCTGAAGAGCTTCCCGGTTATCCAGCGAGGGTCTGTGAAGCTGACTGCGCCAAATAAGAATATTTTAGTCATCGAGAGGCGTCAAGAGAAGACCGTCTTCGTGGCGATCGTTAATATCGGCAGTTTCTACGAGACGTTCGATTTGACGAAGCACGTGTCCCTGCCGGAACCCAAGTTGGTTGTTTACACCTCGAGTATAAACTGTGAGCATAAAGAGGACGAAGCCGTGGATGTGTCCGCTATTAAGTTACGACCGAAAGCTGGGGTGGTGCTGTCGAACCAGAAGAATAAAGTCGACTGATAGGATGGAAAATTTCAAGCACTGGTGATGAAGGAACACGATAATACTTTTAGTGTTCTGCAGCACGCAACCAGTTTTCGGTAGTTGATTTTAGGCGCAGTCTCTTATGAAATACACTGAAAGCTAGGAAAAATACTAAGAAATATGACCCGAACTGTCCACTGAGAAAAAAAGTTACGGGCTATAGAGGCATACCGTCCGTTCCGGGCTCAGAGGCTGAAAGTTCCGGGTGCTAGAGCCGTGGTTCCAATTGCCTTGGGTGCTAAGCCCGGAATTCTCGGCCTCAGAGCCCGGAACGTGGACAGAATGCCTCTAAAGCCCGTAAGTACGGCTTCCACGGCCGGAGCTTTTTTTTCAGGGTACGTAACAAGGTGGTAAAATAGTGCTGCGTCCACACTATTTGGCGGGAAAACAAGGCCAGAAAGTTCTTTTTTGAACTCTAATGAATGCCAGTACAAGACTGAGGGAAAGAGTGTCCAGCTTAGGCAGCTTGCATTGGAATATTAAGCTGAGGCATTACAGCTCAAAATGTTTGACTCTAATTGAATCTTTTTAACTTTTTGGCCTTGTTTTCCCCGCAAAATAGCGTGGACCCAGAAATATTTCACCACCCTGTTACTTGATTAAAAGCCAGATACTTTTTTGCAAATAACTAAGAAAAAAGATGCATCATCAGAACGCAGTGTCTCACTTTCTCTCACTCACTCTTTCATACTTCATGACGTGCTGGCAACAGTGTTGCAGACCGTCTTTTAGATAATTTTTTGGTACATTTATAGTTTTTTACATGTTTTATTTTATCTCAAAATGAATGCGTAGTTAATATGTTTATCTATTTCCAGTTGTGGGTACATCAACTGTGGAATTACAGTCAGCCGAAAGGCCCATCGTCAAAACGTGAGCGCCACGATTTGTTATAACGTAACTATTTTGACGTAGATGCTTATGCCTAATCGTTCTAATGAAGGCAAATTATGCTCCATACCACATAACGTGCTTTTCATGCGCGTGATTTGCCCTCTACAAGACAAATTGGCCAAGAGATTCTTACAAGTCAAAATAGGCGCATCCTCAGAGAATGACTTGCTTTTTTCTCATTTTTGTGTGCTTGTTATTCAGTATATAAGTTGCTTTTCTGTTCCTACCAATAATCAAAATGTACAAAATTCACGATGTAAATATTTACAACTTTTTAATAAGAATTTTGGAATCGATCAACAAATTCTTTCCAGGTGGGACGAACGATGGAAATTTTAAAAAAATAAACGATGAAATTTTTTACTCCATTGTCCGACCCAAAGTCTGGCAGCACACTTACGATCCAGTCATAGCAATTCCTGACGGTATTGGATTTTACAAATAAACTCAGCGTATGATCTTATTTAGTTCAGAATACTCATATTTTGCCAAATTATTATCACATTTTTCATACCCACTTCCTATCACACCACGAATACTCATAATAAATATTTTGGGTTTTAAATAAATTCTCACTGATTCATGTGGTTATTTCATAGACTCTGAGACAATCACATGACAGCAGATACCCGCGATAGATTTCAATAAAAATGTGTCGTAATGTGTGCATGTAAAAGATATCGCATAAGAAATAAAGAAGTGGAATAAATAGTGCATGCGATTTACTCAACCTAAAGCACCCAGGATAACAGGGCAATAGAGCGTTTTAAAAGTAAATACGTACTTGATTTTTAGGAATTTCAAAAGGAAAGTATGATTTAAGGATCACGAATTCAAATATCTTGTTCTTATTTTAATAATTTTTTCATTTTTCAACATTTTTTGAACCCACTATTTTTTCATTTGATGAATGGAAAATGTGTTAGTTTCACAATATGTAATGGATATGTTTATTTTACTCTTATACCTAGATCTCCAAGACTGCGATATTAACAAAACTCTCTGTGAAGCTGTAGACTAAATCAAGGTTACCCATAATTTTTCATATTTTATGGATGCGATGTTGCTGTTATAATTATTGTACGATATATTTCTTGTTATTTTTGTTTTGTTTTAAATTCTTCGTCGAAATTAATCTTTCATGTTTGGAATAATATATGATGAAATTATTTCCTACGTTTCTTCTTACAACCTCGTCCTAAAATAATTAGTCTGAAATCAAAATAAAAGTAAAGGTCATCCTCTCCCAGCGTCTCAGCGGGCTTTCACTTTTAGAGCTCAGCCTCTCGCTGAACCCTTGACATTACCTCATTGTTTTCTTTGAAGCAAAGTCTCGACAATATCATTTGACCAACAAGTTGGACAAACTTGTTGGACTTGTTGGACAAACTACCTATCACGTTACTTGGAAGCTAACAAGAGGTAATATTAGCGAAGCTGCCTGAAGTAATCATTAATATAAACTTCGAAGGATTCTGCCTTTTTCTATTTCACTCGAGGGGAAGTGTCCCCTCCCCGCCTCTCTTCCCCACCCGGTGACTGACGCTGCGCTGTGCTGAACGGTTCAGCCTGAACCTTTCCCCTATGTCTGACCGTTCCCCTTTCCTCTGTCAATCGAACCATGCCACCGCTTACGCATTGTCGCTCGCCCACCCAGGTACCAGGGTACATACCTAGCGGCCAGCGGTCAGTTGATGACAAATCTCGCTCATGCTCCCACGCAACGCATAGATTACGCCAGCAAATTATTTTCCGAATGATTAGAATTTCTTCGATAGTAATTTTCTTTATTTATTTGACTGTACTTTTTCTCTGCTTTACTGTGTTTTCCTTGGTTCTCTGCTGTGTTTTTCTTAAACCTCCTCGGTGTTTTTTTATCTTGCTCATGCTCACACGCAGCTGAGCTCAGATTACCCTAGTGGAGTCATTTTCTTTGTTATTTTTCTATATATTTTTCTCTGTTATACTGTGCTTNTATTACGTAACTATTTTGACGTAGTTGTTTATGCCTAATCGTTCTAATGAAGGCAAATTATGCTCCATACCACATAATATGCTTTTTCATGCGCGTGATTTGCCCTCCACAAGACAAATGGGCCAAAAGATTCTTACAGGTCAAAATAGTCGCACCCTCAGAGAATGATTTGCTTTTTTCTCATTTATGTGTGCTCAATGTAAGTTGCTTTTCTGTTCCTACCGCAATAATCAAAATGTACAAAATTTACGATGTAAATATTTACAACTTTTTAATAAGAATTTTGGAATCGATCAAAAAATTCTTTTCAGGAGGGACGAACGATGGGAATTTTAAAAATGAACGATGAAATTTTTTACTCCGTTGTCAGACCCAAAGTCTGGCAGCACACTTACGATCCAGTAATAGCAATTCCTGACAGTGTTGGATTTTACAAATCAACTCAGCGTATGATCTTATTTAGCTCAGAATACTCATATTTTGCCAAATTTTTATCACATTTTTCATACCCACTTCCTATCACACCATGAATTCTCATAATAAATATTTTGGGTTTTAAATAAATTCTCACTGGTCTACGTGGTTATTTCATACGCACTCTGAGACAATAACATTACAGCAGATACCCGCGATAGATTTCATGAAAAATATGCCGTGATGTAGGCGTATAATGTTGCATAAGAAATAAAGAAGTGGAAGCAATGGTGCATGAGATTTACTCAACTCAAAGCACCCAGGATAACAGGCAGTATCTGAGCGTTTTAAAGTAAATACGTTCTTGATTTTTAGGAATTCCTAAAGGAAAGTATGATTTGAGGATCACAAATTCAAAAATCTTGTTCTTATTTGAATTATTTTTTTCACTTTTCAACATTTTTTGCACCCATTTTTTTTTATTTGATGAATGGAAAATGTGTTAGTTTCACAATATGTAATGGATATGTTTATTTTACTCTTATACCTAGATCTCTAAGACTGCGATATTAACAAAACTCTCTTTGAAGCTTTAGACTAAATCAAGGTTACCTATAATTTTTCATATTTTATGAATGCGATGTTGCTGTTATAATTATTGTACGATATATTTCTTGTTATTTTTGTTTTGTTTTAAATTCCTCTTTGAAATTAATCTTTCATGTTTGGAATAATATTTGATCAAATTATTTTCTAAGTTTTTTTTCTTACAACCTCGTCCTAAAATAATTAGTCTGAAATCAAAATAAAATTAAAGGTCATCCTCTCCCAGCGTCTGAGCGGGGGACAGAACCTTTCACTTTTAGAGCTCAGCCTCTCGCACAACCCTTGACATTACCTTACCTCATCGTTTACTGTGAAGCAAAGTCTCGACAATATCATTTGACCAACAAGGCATACTACTCCATAAGGCTACTCATCACGTTACTTGGCAGCCAACAAGAAGTAATATCAGCGAAGCTGCCAATTAGAGTATTGGAATTCCCTGCGTGGAGATGTATTTTTACCATTACTACTACATGATGAATTAGGTCATTTTACTAATGCTCAGAATTCCAGGAATATGTAAAGCAAGCCACAAAAAAAAACAAAAAAAAACAAAAAAAAAAAACTTACGAATATCTGGGAAGGAAAATTAGTATTCCTCAACCTGCAAAGGAAAATCTTAACTTCATCAATGAAATGNAAATGTATTTTTACCATTGCTACTACATGATGAATTAGGTCATTTTACTAAAGCTCAGAATTCCAAGAATTTAAAAAAGCAAGCAAACAAAAAAAGCCACTTACGAATGGGAAGGAAAATTAGTCTTCCTCAACCTGCAAAGGAAAATCTTAACTTCATCAATGAAATGCATACAGCTGGCAACGACACAAATTTTGAAACAGTCTTTTGCAGATTTAACGAAAAGGTATCATTAGGACGACTGAATCGAAATCAGTTCTACTGAATTTCGAGTCGCAATTTTTTTCTACTGTTTTCAGAAAAGTGGGTAACATTATGCTTGAAAACTTGTTGTGAATCTCCCCCAAATTTTAAAGTGTTCAAGCCGATTTATAACAGTACCCTAGTGATATTCACATTTCTAAAGCAGTATATGAGTTTGACTCGCTTTTGAATAAATTAAACTTAAGAGGAGATTTCATACTTGAAAGCGCTAAATATAGCTTCTGTAATGAGCGGGCAGAAATTTCCTTCGAGGCGATGAGTATGCAATACCGCACAACAATCGTGTCTGAATAGTTTTACAGCTCAAAAATACAGGAGCTCTTATGGCTCTCGCCTAAACTATTCATGATGAGGTAAGCATTGCTCTTCCTCACTTGGTGGAAGAAATAATTGTTTCTTAAAGACGCGCAAGAGGAAGATATCTGGGATAAGATCAAATGATTCTCAACTTTAATGTCCCAGAGCTTTGACTCGTCATCCTTATATATCTTACAAAAAAACCAATTTCACCGGTAATTTTAGGAGCGAAAAGCCGTTTCCGTTTGACATGGTTTGTTCTTATGTGCTTTAACAACAATACCAAAAAATAAAGACATTTTTTCTGCTGCCTTGAAGTATTTTTCATCACATTTGGGACATTTTACACATAGTGTAATGGTGTCCTAAGAGCACGTCCATACCATAGATTATCAAGAAGACGTCAAAATTCTCGGTAACAATATGTCTAAACAAACACAATTCTCAATCGTTTCAGTATTGAAGTTAAAGATGATGAAAACAAGCCATGTAATTTTTTTTTTTTTTTTTTTAAATGTGCTGCGTTTTGCAATAAGCAGGAAGTACTATTTCTGAGCCACCTACAAAAGCAATTATTTTCATACAGGGATATATGGCGGACAGGTTGTTTCTGAATTGAGCCAGGAATAGTAGGTCTATAATGCAAAATGTAAAGCCGAAATATGCTATTGCACGGATTTTGAAACTTTTTTAAGGTCACGGTCGGTAGTATAATGACAAATGATACACAAAATTGAAAAGTTATTTGATACTGCCCTGTAGTGAAGCATCCTGCTTTTAGCAATTCTCCAAGACAAAAATAAAAGCATTTGCAGTAATTAACCTTCTCCACAGGTTGCGATATCATTACAGAAGAATCGCAATCACTTACTTGTAAATGGACAGTACCCCTTTAGTAGCGAAGTATATTCATGCATGAATGCCCTTTTCAGCGATAAGGCGTCCAATTTTGATCAAAATGGAGTGCTACCATTCATCATTTTTTGCCGGACGAAACATGTCTTCCACGATTTCATTTGAAAATATTTTGAAGTATATGGACGTAGCTGGGGGACTACGGGAGAGGGGAGATTGCCCCCCACCCCCAGAATTGAAAATACCCTCCTCGCCCCCCTCCCAAAATTCTGTCGGGTGATAAAAAAACTTCGTCAACGATAACTTTCGGTTGCAGTGAAACTCTCTACAACAATATCAAAATATTTGAGCTGAAAATACTTAAAATAGTGTAATTATGGGCAGAAATCACTAGAAGATTTGCGCCATGTAAGCCTCAAAATGATTTGAATTAGAGTCAAAATTTTAATAATTTTCCGGGTGAGACCCTCTCGACACCTTTTGGACCGAAAGGCATCCTATTTCCCCGATGATAGGGGGACCAGACCCTTTTCCTCCACAGCAAAATAACCAACCACACCTATGGTGAAGTAACGATAAGGGCTGATGACTCCCGACACGCTTCGTCTGACTTCGTCGATCCTCTGACGTAAAGGAGGGCGGCGCTTTCACGTGAGCCCTGTTTTACATATCAATCCTTGCTTTCTGGGGCTCATACGAAAATCAAGATACGTCTTCACGCCAGAGGAGCGATAAATTAAATCGGAACTTTGATCAATTATCGAGGGCTATTAATTTAGAACGTGTCGAAACTTACGATTTCTACATTCAGTATTGGTGAAGATGTAATCTTGTAGCAATTGAATCAAAGAGATCGAAAACACACCAACTCGGTTATTCGAAACTGCGCAACTTTCATTAAAGACGGTCAATTTTTATGAAGGTTATTGAAGTTTGCGCATTTTTCCAACTTGGACCTTTAAAATGTCCCTGAGTGCTTGTCTTTCGACACCAAAAATCTATTTCTTACACTAATTTCTTCATTTATTGTGCAGTTTTGTGTGTGTCTCGGTTACTTACATTTTTCGGAGTTGGTGTGTTTTCGTTCTCACTGATTCAATTACAATAACTGGTGACGCTTCTTCGTGTTTTTATGTTCATGGTCAGTTTGTAATTTTGTAGATCTATGGCGAATATGCCATTTTTTCGAGGAAAAGGTTGTTAGCCTCTAGCTGAGAATAACTCACATTTTTATGAACCGTAAATTCGGGTCATTTTATCCTAACAATAATTTTCAACATATTACTAACCTGCCCGTATTGAACTACAAAAATCTAACGGAAGAATGTATTATTTTTTGTTGCAGTAATATTGCAGTCCCAAAGTCATCATGGCAAGCATAAGATATCCCATAATAGCACTGGCACAGTGTATCCTCCTCCACTCCATCTCGGCAGACACACCTTTGGACTGGTGGCAAACGAGCGTCATCTACCAGATCTACCCCCGCTCCTTCAAAGACAGCAACGGCGACGGCATCGGCGATCTGAACGGAATCATCCAGAAGGCCGACTACCTGAAAGACCTCGGGATCGGCGCCATCTGGATATCGCCCTTCTTCAAATCGCCCATGATCGACAACGGCTACGACATCTCCGACTTCCGCGCCATCGAGCCCACCTTCGGCACCATGGAGGACTTCATCCGTCTGAGAGAGGCCTTCCACTCGCGCGGTATCAGAATCATCATGGACTTCGTGCCGAACCACTCCTCGGACGAGCACGAGTGGTTCCAGAAGTCCGTCCAGAACATCGCCCCCTACTCGGACTACTACGTCTGGGTCGACGCCAAGTACGTCAACGGGACTCGTACACCACCCTCTAACTGGCTCTCCTACTTCGAGGGCTCCGCCTGGACCTGGAACGAGAACCGCCAGAAGTACTACCTCCACCAGTACCACCTCAAACAGCCCGATCTCAACTTCCGCAACCCGGCCGTCGTGAGGGAGATGCAGGATATCCTCCGCTTCTGGATGGACATGGGCGTCGACGGGTTCCGGATGGACACGGTCTGCACCCTCGTGGAGGACGACCGGTACCTCGATGAACCACGGTCGTATGCCGAGGGATTGGAACCGACCAACGTCGACTACCTCCGCCACGATTACACCCGCGACCAACCGGGGACCTACGACCTTGTCTACCGGTTACGAGCGTACATAGACGAGTACCAGAAGAGCAGCAACAAATCCGGTGGCACGAGGTTCGTGGCGACGGAGGACTACGCCCCTCTGGACGAGAAGATGCGCTACTACGGCAACGCCACCCACGCTGGCGCCCACTTCCCCTTCAACTTCCTCCTCATCACGGAGGTGGACCGCGAGACGAACGCCTTCCTCTTCAAGGAGATCATCGACTCTTGGTACGCGAAGATGCCCGCCGGGAAGTGGGCGAACTGGGTGATCGGGAACCACGACCGGCCGAGGGCGGCCACCCGCTTCGGGCGGGACATGCTGGACAGCGTCCACATGATCCAGTTCCTACTCCCGGGTACCGTGATCTCGTACATGGGGGACGAGATCGGCATGCAGAACCCTTACATCCGCTGGTCCGAGACCGTCGACCCTCCGGGCATCAACAGCGGGAAGCGGTTGTTCCTCATCTACTCGCGCGACCCCCAGCGAGCTCCGTTCCTGTGGGACGACTCCGTCAGCGCCGGGTTCTCGACCAATCGCACCACGTGGCTCCCGGTCCACCCGAACTACTGGGACTTCAATTTTGAAAAACAGAGGAAGAGTGCGAAGAGTCATCACAGCGTGTACAAACGGCTTGTCCGACTCAAGAGTGTGCCGACGATCCAGCGCGGTTCTCTTAAAATTTACGCCCCGAGTAAGAATATCCTAGTGGTAGAGCGGTTCCTGGAGCCGAATTCCCTGTTTTTGGGAGTGGTGAATGTCGGGAGTTTTTACGAAGCGTTCGACATGACTAAGCTTCTGCGCGTGCCGGAGATCAAGCTCTCGGTCTACGCGTCGAGTATGAATTCTGAGTATTCCGACAATGAAGTTGTGGATGTTGCTGCTGTTAAGTTGCGACCGAAGGCTGGCGTTGTTTTGACGAACCAAAAGATTCCCTCGTGATAATTATAGTTTTGCTCTCGGAAAGGCCGGGTTTTTGTCCTAAAATTTTGCCATATTTGGCATCAATGTGTATGAGTCAATCGTTGTACCTTATAGATTCACTAATTTTCTCTCATCTTTTCAGGGAGTACTCAGGTAGTCATTATTCGTTTGTAAATATGGAGCTGGGACCGTTTACATTTTTTTTCCCATGCGTTACTCGAGGTCGGGTGAAGATTCCCCGGTAAAATTATACTTTCACTTTCAAAAGGACAGGATTCTGCAGCCTTTGCTTGCTCCGAAATCTTGAAAATTATATGTCTTATGGCTCCATGACTGCCAGCTGAAGTCCCCACTTTACGAACTTTTTGCTGTTATTCTTTCATCAAAAGTAATACAATGGAAATATGTTTGATTAATATCTGTAAGTCAAATTTTAGTTTTTACAAAAAACCAATGATTAAAACCTTGCGGTAGCGAACTAACATCCAAATTGACAAAAAATTTCAATAGATTTATGCTGTGTCCATAATTTATACTAAAAATAGTTGCAAGATCTCCAATGCTATTTTAATTGTAGCGGTGAGGGCTGGAAAAGTTAACTGTATTAAAACACCTCAAAGTTCCACCCAATAACTGATTTTTTCATAAAAAATTTTCGTGGAATAAAAACAAAAAATCTAAAAAAAAAAAAAATTCAAAATAACATTTGCAACTGTTCTGGAGCAAATAAATAACTCATCAAATGGACGTTTGTAACGTTGTGATGTAAAATAAGCCTCCCTGAATCTTACTCTGAAAAGTATCGATGTCTTTGTGAAATAATTTCCAGGGGTGCTTACATGTTCATTTGTGTGAATTGAAGATAAGCCAATACCTCTGTAAAAATGTAGAGCTACATATATATAAGTTTCTATTTATAATTTTGATGGAATAACCAATGACAGCGTTCACGGGTCGGCTTCATTTTATTTTCATCCCCACCAAATCGTACACTCACAGCAAGCCACGCGATTTATAATTTTAAAACTTTAAACATTTTAAAACCACAAAAAATGATCTTAGAGATTTCCTTCAAACTGAGGGATGGGCAAAAAGTCTTACTTATGTATTCGATTATTTTCGAATCAAGCCTCCTTTGACTTCTTGAGAATTTTCTGTGCCAAGGACGAGAGGAGAAGCGGGCGAGTGACAAAACAAAACTTATAATTCTGTAAAAGTATTATCTCCAATTGAATAAGATTCTAGTTTAGTTTCAATTACTCTTTCCCAAAAATCAGCTAGTTGCGATTTTTCCTTTATTATCGATGTCAAAACTCGAAAAATGCGTGTCTCCGATTGCGATTTGTCAATTTCTCACCATGCCTTATTTTTTCTTTTAAAGAGAACTGACCAAATGTTATTCTTGAAATATTCTGTGCATTTTTGTTCACTCAGTTTAAAATCTCCACAGGGAGTTTGAATGGAAATAGGTCAGCATTTTTTAAAAGAAAATAAGAAAAATGTAATCGGTGATTTTCAACTGCTGCATTGGAGCTTTACGCGCCCTTCGACTTTAGTCATCGATAATCGGGAAATAACTCTCTAAAATATTTACCTTTTCATCAAAGGACCTCTAGACGTATCTTCTTTACATGTTCCAAGCAAAGCAGTCAAAGCATATTATCGATTGTGATGATTTCGTTTGTGCGTATTATGTCGGAGAATTTCCCAAGCAGCACCTAAAATGGTTCGATCGATCAAATAATGAGCTTTTTGTTGTAGTCTATATATTTGATGGTATACGATATATTTAAGTACCTAATGATAACTAAAAGTTCATTAAAAATGAAAAATATTAAGAGAGAGGATAGTTAAAAATTATTTTCATCGTATCAAAAAATACTAGACACATGCATATCCATCAAGAACTCCAGACGCAGATTGCATTAAACAGCTGGTCGCCGCATATTTTGTTACCACGGTGAAGATTATAACTTGATGATGAGTATTTAAATACTATTTATATCTTTGATTTGATTTTTTTATCCAAATATCTAAAGATAGATTACACATTTGGAAACCGGTCTCTTTGAAAATAACTTGCGTGTGTTGTTCCTTTATGTTCCATTCTAGTTTTTTCATGTTACCTATAATTTTTTTAGCTAAGTATAAATGTGCACTGCTAGGATTTTGTTTATAGACTAAGATGTATGCCAACTGGTGTATTGTTACAATTAGATTTGATTTTGACAGCTCGTAAGTTGTAATCGTGTGTAAAATTAATTTTATATGTGTATCAAAAAAAAAAAAAAAAAAAAAAAAAAAAAAAAAAAAAAAAAAAATTGAACCTACGAATTACTTACCCTCTTATCTTCTTTCGTACCGGTCGATAATACAAGAAAACATTCTTTTGATTGAGACTATCAATTTTTTCATAAGATATCTACGTAAAGTAAAAAGTACAACGTATTTCATGCCAATACGGTGGGTAATTAAATAAATTTATTCTCAGAGCTTGCCACAATATTATTGAGAGAAAGGAAATTTACAATGATACATTTCAAAGGTTAGAAAACTCCTTGTAAAATCGAACTTTTAAAAACGATTGTTTGAAAAAGTAGGTGAAAGATCCACATGAGATGGATAAAAAGAAAGAAATTGCTGCTAATGTTAGTGTGCGCCGTAATCACTGTGCGATACATCAGGAACTAAACTCATCATACTGTGACTTCGCTCATGAGTCTACACGTACGCTCTTTCAATTCAAAGCGAATTACCTCAAAACTACCAAAATTCGTTGACGTACGGTCTGTACGTGTATACAGGTTCGTTTTTTCTGAAGAGAGAGATTGAAAACTAAGAACTTTTCATATGAGTAGTATAGTTTTCATCTAGAGGACAAACTGACAAAACTAAAATAAAACAAAACAATAAATCGAAGTCGACAAACCTGCGGTGAGAAAAGGAACAGCTACGGTAAGGTATTTTGCAACGAGAATTACCACGAACAATTTCTTTCTATGTGAAGAAAGCCCCACAAAAATACATAAATATACAATCCTTTTATAAAACACTGAAAGTAAGGTATGATAAAGTCTATAGTTATGACATATTTTGAAACACTATTGTCGATCGGCTGTATTTGTATTTATCGGCGCGATCAAGATGAATTTTCAACTTTTCTGTATATGTTAAGTGTAATTTCAATTTTATTGCTTGCTAGGAGGGTTCAATTTATAAACAAATGGTGAATTTGGACCACCAGATAGGACAGAAATCAAGTGAAACAGTGAAGTGAAACAATCCCGTGATCCTTTGGGATAAAAAAAAAAATAATTCAAAGAAAATAGATTCAAGTCAAACGGACCGGTATTTAAAACCTGAAGTCATTGATTCCTCTGGCTATCTTAGAATCAACATATCCGCAACTTGCTTCCTTGTGCAAGCAAATGATCATGTCGATTTATGATCCCTTTTTTACTAACGGTATGTACACGTTACACACTAGAAGCTACGCCTCCCGACAGCTTTGTGGTCCAACCTCCTCCCCCCCCCCCCCCCCCCGAAGCGCTTCGCGTCTCTGGCGTCGCGCATCATTCTTATTATTTCATACTGACTGGACTATCTGGATACCGTCCAAAAAAGTTCGAGTTAACATGCCCATCTTTAAACGAGCAACTATTCGTACTCCTGTGTAGATGACAGTTGCGGCACGAAAAATTGAAGGCGTTCTTTTATCCCATGCGATTCACGCTGCACTTCAACTGTTGAATGCCCCAACTGGGGTCATTTCAAAATCAATATTATAAACTAGGGGGCTTCGCCCCTTCACCGCTTGCTCGGTGCAACCCCCCGCAGCGCGTTGCACCCCCGTCCCCCAGGCGTTTTGCGTTACCTGTTACTCGTATCTGTATCCGTATGATTTTGTATTACAGATCATGTTAGAGAAATGAAATTTGGAGTGTATTTTACCACGGAGCGTATGTGTAGCTGCCAAACAACTAGGATGATTAGAAAGTGTTGGAAAATCCGCCCAGAAGCAGAGTGGAATGTACACCGCTGAAAGAGTACAAGGAGAAAAAACTGCGCTTCAGATGGAGCAGGAAAATTTTTGGTCATAGAAAGTGAAATTGTTAAAGTAGGTAGCCATACCGAGGAAAACTTCGCTAATCTTAAGTTCGGGTTCTATGACTAAAAACTTCCGTTACTTGGAATACAACTTTAGTGGTCCATAAGCACTTGAACTTGAGACTTGTAACCAAAAATTTTTACTCTGGTGAAATAGACTCCAGATTTCACTCCTTTATGCCAGTGTAAGCGATTTAAAAAGACTGTTAATTTTGAAAAAGCCCTCATCTACTAAAGCACCGTTATGTAAAAATACGGTGTTTTTCCAATCTCTCAATGCCCATGAATCTTTGGTTGATGACGTTCAAGACGCATTCAAATCAAATGGAACTATATGCAGGTGGTAAAACTCCCAATCTACGTATCTCGTTTTCTATGTTAGAAAATCTCCATTATTTCTTTTAACACAGAACAAATCAACATCGTTCCTTGAAGTTTTTTTCAAAATTTGCCTCGCATAGAAAAGAAAAATCATGGAAGTGTTCAAGATTTGACGTCGAGACGTAGTTTTCTACTGAAAGAAAGAGTATGACGGGAAGACTGCAACATCGTAAACTGAGATACCTGGTTCGGGAATCTCACCCATATATGAAGTACATTGAGTCGTAACAAGAATGGAGGCTGGTACCACTTTTCAGTATTTTCCAGTCACCGAATTCCATCACTCCTGTGCGGTGCCGGGTCACCATTTCGATACATTATTGATTTTTTTCGATACACGGGTTTCTGGCCATCCGATGTATATAAAGAAGGTATGAATGGTTTATTTCGTACTCCACATCGCCGTTTTGGATCGAAAATGTATCAAAGAGATGACCGAATTTCGGCGCACACCGGGCTTGGAACTTGTCGACCAGAACATGGCCCGAACCCACTTTTTCATATCAGTGGCGTGGCGTGCTTTGCGATGTATCGATTGATCTGCCCTTTGAACCTAAGAAATAGGATCGAAAACAGGATGTTCGCAGCGAACACCCTAATAATCGATTGTTTTCCATAGCTTCAAATAGGGAAGTATCGAATCGATCATTGCATGCCTCGCCACTGCTTTATATTATGACTCTACGTGCTCTATGGTTTCACCGACGATATCCATTGTGACATAAGCTCCACCTTCGCATGTATCCTTATGAATCTCAGGGCTCATATCAGAATGGATATAGTTCCTCTTGATTTATATACCTACGTCTTAATTAAACCGAGTCTAGTAGAGAGGAACCGTCTGTTTCACGCGATAGCATGCCTGTCACCGCTTTTTTCATCCAAATTGAAGCTTTTCTGACTGTGTCTATGTTCATCTGGTTTTTTTTGGCTATAGACTCGGTCCACCTGGGGTATTTAGATTCTGACGCTATCCGGTGGTCTATTAGCTGGATTCCTAGATTTCAATTGATTCCTTCGTTCGATTTCTTTCTGGGAGTTTCTTTCTTCTCGACTAGGTGGTTCTGCTTCTCGGTGGGGGATACCTTGGGCGACTTGGACCTGTCTCTTCGTGGACTCGTCGACTCGGCCGGGGGCAGAGCTCGCGTGTGACCGTCTCGGTGCGGTTTCAAGTGGACGGTTGTGTCTAAGTGACGGAATCTAAAACAAATACAACGATACAATAAAAACTCCTTCCCAAGTAGCATTTTTCAACGTAAAAGTTGCCACAATTTGAAACAATGTTGGTATTCTGCCCTGCTAAGGAAGAACGCCGTATGAACATTCGAGAGTTGCCAAATTTCCCTTGATGAAACATGAATTTTTGACGACATTTACGTACACTTTTCTTTGAAATCTTCAGATATTTTAGAGTAAATTGAGTTAAAAATAGTCTGAAAATTTTGGGGGAAAATATTCACAATTTTCCTAGAAAAGGTTTTTATCGAAGGAAACTTGGCAACGTCTGAAGGCTCATACGGCGTTCTTCCTTAGCATGGCAGTATTAGTTGCAACATCGGTCAACTTTTGGTCGATAAGTGCCGATTTTCGGCGATCCGATCGGAAGACAAAGTTGCGACCTGCTGAGATCGCAAAATTGCTGAACCGAAGTTGTTTAAAATCTAAAGATAGGCAACCAGCAATACTTTGAAGTTGAAACATGTTTCAACTTAATTGCAACTAGTTCCAACAATGATAGCTCCTTCGGTGGAGAGAGTAGGCAATCTGCACATCAATCCATTAGTTGCAAGAATTAAACGATTTTGTTGCAAGTTGTTGCAACCTCTGCTACTTGGGTTTAAGCTCTAAGGCCTTGTCTCCACGAGACGTTTTCATGAGTTTTGGGCTACGGTCGAATCGGGGAAATGAAATTTCGGGTACCTTTTGTACTTACCGTCCCCATGGGATGGTGGATGGTGGGAAGTTCATCTGACAAGTTTGCGTGGGAAGATAAATCAGTAAAATTTTCGTATTTTACCGGAGTTAAGATAATAATTCAATATGACTGAGAAAGGAGAATTACACACGAATTTTTTATTGCTTCGTCTGAGAGTGCTCAAAGAGCTGATTTCGCGATGGTTTTTACAATTTTCTCTGATATTGGAAATAGAATTAAAATAGATTTAAAGGTGCGAAAATGCACCGCCTAATGACGTCATCTGGCGGAATTTCCCATTTAAACGTATGTATTTTAGCAGACTAGATCGTTTTGTCATATCTCCTCCAATAATTGTTCAATTTATGAACCAGAGTGTCCTCGTGTTCAGTTCACTCAGTAGTTTCCACTTAAACGCGAAATTCATCACATTTTGGACACCTGCAAATTCTAAATTATACTTGTTTAATAAACAAACACCTGCAACAGGAACGACAGTATATCACACAATTTACTTTCACTTCTTCCTCCTCTCTCAGTCGGTTAGGTCCTCTACAGGGACTGGTTTGTACTACGATTAATATGGAGTTAGTCAATAATAATTGTCCCAACTTCGCAAGTGAGACTTTTCCCTGAGAAAAATCCCATGAAAACGTCCCATGGGAAATAGGCCTTACACAAAGAGAAAAATTTTCGGTTATACGAATCGTTAAGTTTGGTGGGTGATGATACAACGGGCCTAATACAAGGGCACAATGAGCCTAATAAAAATGACCATAAAAATACAAAAAAAAAAACACTTTCCAAGAAGTCATTAACAAACTGTTAAAAACTATGTTTTAGGAAATCTTTACCTACTTGATTAACCTCTTTCGTTGACAGTGTCGAATGCTTCGTTCAACGAACTGAAGAACTTTGGTTCATTTGGAACATGTGCGATGTCCACAAAAGTTTTTCGGTTCCCTGAACTGAGCCTGCAGTTTACCGATTTGAGCTACTGTATTATGAACCAAAGTTTCTCCATCAGTTAAAAAGGTCGGTTTTCGTGGCTGAGGCCTTAGTCCTCCAAGCAGGGTTGTCATATTGAACGGTAAAATATGAATATTTTATACGGGTTAAATATGAGAGAGGGCTGATTTTCAGCACTTTCTGTCAACAATGCAAGTAAAAAAGGAAGCGCATATTGCATTAATTGGTTCGTAAATCGGACGATGTTTTCTCTCGATGTTAAACTCAGGCATATTCTTCGAGTAAAGTGACTATACATGAGACAGCATTGAGAAATAGGTACTATTACATTGTTTCAGACGATGAAACAAGTATATTTTTCATTTGAAGATCTATTCTCATTTTCGTAAGCACGCAATTGTTTCTAGACGACGCACTACATGCGCCGGAAATACTTAAATACCGCACATTTACACCATACTGTTCGTGTACTCAACGCTTTTACGAACTGTAACTCCCTACCCGAAGAGGTGCAATTTAGGAATTCCATCTTTAATGCCGGCAGATACGTCGTATTTTTTGAGATCTCGACTCATGGTTTAATATGACTCATTTGACACGCATTACACTGACTTTCAGACTCATTCAGACGAGTGTTTTCATGCACATCGATGGGTTATCTAAATATAATCCGAAGAGAGGAGGTTCGGGTGAAGGGTGGGATGTGAGAAATAGAAAACTTAAAAATTATATCAAAGCATGTATGAGAAGGAACAAGACAAATCCTAGAAGATAAAACCTGTGACTTACATGAAAAGAGACGCTGCTCACTTCGTCTCAAATCTAAAAGGCAAGAAGAGGGTGATAGCTTTGAGCCGATAGGAAGCAGTTTTGAGTGTGCATCTAAATTCTCTAAGTAGCACAGTTTTTAGGAAAATGATTATCTACCTATTTTTAAGGGACCGTTGAAAACAAAAATGTACATATATTTAAATTAATCGAACGAGGAACCAAAATTTAAAGTTAGTATTTTTTAAGGTTAGATAAGGAAATGTAAATTGCACGAGCTGTATCCTTCAGTGCTGAGGACGCTTACGTAAAAAAAAGTTTGTCATCCAGCTGCTCATTGGGTCGATTTATTTTAGATGAGCGCAATTTATTAGACGATTATTAGATTACAGTTTATAGAAAGTCTTCATACAAAAAAATAATAAATTAAATTCGTTAGCTCTCGGTTTTGTTTTTGCTGGAATTTTATCATCGCGTTAATGTTGACCCACATAAATCACGTTTATAAGGACGGACGTGTTATTTGAGAACCAAGAAATCCACGAATCCATATTACTATGCTTACATTATTTTTTTCGGTTTTTTCTCCTAAATTTCACTCTACGTTAATCAGATCTAACTTTATTTTTTTGCAAGTATTTTTCCGCCACATCGAATGTAACTAGACATTATGAAGCTCACTAAAGAGCTTTTCACTACGAGAGAAAGTTCATTACCTCATCATGACATTTGGAGTCTCGCCTTGGAATAGAAATGCAAGAGGCCAACTGATCCAGGTAGCACTGAAATGAAAGAAAATGAATTTTGAAAGTAAATGACTATTTCCCTTGATCTCAAAAAAGCGGACGAATCAATGTCAAACTCTAAACCGCCCACAATTTGATTATGCTTTTATCAGAATGAAGAAAAGGAGAATTTAGGACTGGTTTGAAAGAAATATAGTGATTGATTAGGGATTAGAAAGAACATGCGGCAAATAATGGAGAGTAGAGAGTTTGACGATGATCCCCCTCTTCTTTATCTGCACAAGGGAATGATGTAGATAATAGGATTTCACAGACTAAAATAAAACAAATAAAAAAACGAAAAAGCAAATCGAAGCAAATGACATGCAGCCAGCAGCAACAGCACTTTCACGTCACTACAATTCGGACATAACAACATGACAACCCAAGCAAAAGGAGAATATTTTCCATTCTTTTTCTTGTCTTTTGCGTCGAGTAAAATTGATTACGGCGGTAGCTCCGCAAGAACTCAATTTAATATGTCACATTTGTGCATTAAAGACACATTCATTTGATCTGAGAGAAGGAAGGGGTGGGCTGATTCAGGCACGGTCGGCACAAACCGCATATTAGCGCCTACAAGACTCCAGGAATACTTCATGCATTGCGCCAAATAGCACGGTTAGCCCGGACGCACATAAGCGCCTACAAGACTCTGAGAATACTTCATGCATTGCACTAAATGGTGCGGTCGGCTCAAAACGCATATTAGCGCGTACAGGACTCCAAAAACACTTCACGCACAGCGCGTTTACTACGTTGCGCACTTTAATCGTTGAAGATTCGTAATTTCTTAGTGCTGAACCTGCCGCGGTGTGCAAATTTTCGACCTGTGCACAGATTTTACACCTCTGAGTAGCACTTTAGTGTATTGAGTCATTGACGTCGGAGTTCGTCCGTCTTTTTCTGATCAACTGTCATTACAGCGTGAACTTTTCTTTATCGCGGGAATCGGCCGGTACTTTGAGTCCTTGTTATAGAGAAGATTACTGCACATGTTTTCAGCTTCAGATTATTACTTTTCCACCGCAGATTTTTATTGCTCGTAAGAGCAGAAATAAAATCTTTTTGATATTTGAGGTAGCCACCGGAAATTTTTGAATGAGTTAAGTAAATTTCACTTATCTGGGGAATCAGTGTACAATACTCGCTTAGTTACATGGTCGATGAGCAAATTACAATCGAAAACACAGGAAAATGCGGAAACAAGGCTAAAATACAAAATACACAGGCGGGACGTTTCGGTACCTAACGGCATCATTACCAACTGCTAAAATAGAATTAAATATGAAAAAAAAAATAAATAAATAAAATAACAATCCCACAGACGGCGTTACATGTTGTTGCGTAACATGTTTGTTGTATTTCGTGCCTTGTTGTTTATTCTGTTATCACTGCAGTCTCTTTCCAATACCAATTTCAACATGTAACGCCGTTTGTTGGATTTTTATTTTAACTTCTTCTTTATTTTTAATTCTTTAATATTTTCGCAGTTGATAATGGTGCTGTAAGGTACCGAAACGTCCTGCCTGTGTATTTTGTATTTTAGCCTTATTTCCGAAATTTTCCTGTGTTTTCGCGTCGTTTCCGTTTCGTGCTGCTTCTGCAAGTCTCTTTGTTTCCACTGAGCGAATTACTGTGCATTTTCTCGACATTACATTTTCGTGACAAAATACTAATTTGCACAAGTTTGTCAAACAGGGTTTTCTATGCGGAAGAAATTGCTCAACATGTTGCCCATCAATCATAATTGGGCAAAGTAGTGTTAATCTCCGGATATGACTTCCACACTACGGGGAGTTTATAGGGCAAGGTGAGCCGAGAAATCTATAATCATCTGCCCGCATTTCCGGCTGAAAGAAAAGCGTGGATATTGTTTGACACGGCAGGAGCAACAAAATGCATATAAACTTGTTTTATGACGACATTAAAGGGTGCGGTTTTGATGTTCTACAGGTTCGAATTTTTACAAGGAAACGATTCGTTTCGTGAAGCGTTAAAGTTAACGAAGATGAATGGACATGCTGCCCTCCGTTTACCACATTACCATCAGAATACTCACAGATAAGCCGAACATATATATTTACACGATGACTGAATGAAATGGAAGGTTGCCAAATTTTGTGATACGATACTTTATTTATGGCGATTCGAGGGTCAGAAACTTTGAGTCGAAATTACATGGGATACATCGCACGTCAGTTCATTTATGCAGTTTCATAAAATGTCAATAATTTTTTGCTCAATAATTCTGTATCATAAACTTTTACTTTGTGCGTCTCAGTGGAAAAATTCGTCGACCACGTAATTTTAAATTGGTGTGGAATGCTCAAAGTATGACGAGAACTTAGGTGCGGATCTAACGAGACCACTTGGAAGCGAGGTTGCCATCGTGTAGAGCAAACTTTTGTTTTGCAATTTTTAAATGGACAATTTGACGACAACGCAACTTCACAAAACTGGCAAAAGCTCAAAGTCGTCTGCAGACTCTGGCGGGAAGCTTTTAAGACTTACGTTGGCGTGGTGGGCTCCTCGCTGGGCTCATCCTCGATGATGTCATCGATCTCACTCGCCGAGAAGCGATTTGAGAAGCGTGACGAAGTGGGGTGTGCCATCGTCGGGTTGTAGATTTTTGGGTCGCTCACCATTCGGACGAAGAAGGACCGTTTGTAGGCTAGATCTTTTTTCCTCTTCACCATCTCAGACACCTCGTCCGAGACAATCTGTACAGAAAATTTGAGGTTAATATTATACTAAATGTCTCTAGTTGGCTGTAGGCTTCTCTACTGGAGTAAAAGCCACTAAAATAACAAAAAAAAATAAGAATAAATTTGAGGTTATATTTTCAATAGACTTATGGAGAGTTTCATGATTGATGAAAGGATTCATAAATGAAGGCGTTCAGTAACTATTTTTTTTCTCTTTTTCTTCTTCTTTTTTCTCTTCTTCGTTTCTTTTTTTATTTTTTTCATTTTTTAGTCTTTTTTTTCTTCTTCTTTTAAAGAGATACCTTATATGGCAGAGGCTCGAAAAATGGTTAATAAAAATATTTAAAAATTGTAAAAAAACAATAGTGTTAGTGGGTGGATTTTAAAACACCCACCGTTTTTTAATTTAACAACCCCGTGAGAATTGTAATATTAAAAATGCCGGCAGATATTGTTAAATATTATAATGAAGCTGCACACATACGATCCTTAAAAAGCTAGCTCAGCTTTTTTAGGAGTTCTTCAAATTTCTAGTACTTAGCAAAATATTTTTTGCCTCTACTTTTATTACAAGTAGGTATTTAATATCACTTTAGCTATCAGAATGTTTGACCTTCGCGTGTTTTTCAAATTCCATCGCTTTTTTTAAAGTTAAATTTTAATTGCTTACGAGTCTTTGGCTGCAAAAAGCTGTCACTTAAAGTACAATTGGACGAATTTATACTAAAAAGAGCTGTGATGCACGCAAACTCTATGCACATAGTTCCTTTTAGCATAAATACGTCAAATTTGTCTCAGGGTGTGCTACTCAGACAAATCAAGCACTATAACTCCTAAAGCTCATTTCAATACGTCAATATTCGAGTTGAAAGTTTGTTTGTTCGTAAATCTATTTAACTTTTTGGCTTGAAACGCATTTTCTTCAAAATATCTTAAATTTTTCATCTGTAATATCCTTAACAAATTATAAAATGGGGAAACTAGCAGTCAGCGGGGATGAAAGGAACGACGAAAAGCCGAAGTAAATTAGTGGCAATATGGCAGTAATGGATGCAGCAATGCACGCGTTCTTATTTTTTGGTAGACAAGACGAACAATTGGAAAGAGGGCCGATAAGCATACTGTTAACTTTGAAAGTGCAGTCGAACCGTTAGAAAACATAGCCATTCTTGTTTTGGAAAAAATTATTAAAAGCACGGAAACAATTGTAGGTCGCATTAAAGAGAAGCAGAATACAGCACAGAAAAACGATACTTTAAGGGTTTGAAATAACACTTACGCTGTGCAGATTCTTGTGGATTTTTGAGCTATGAGACTTCTCACATCAGTTTTCTCGAGACATGTTTATTTTCCGATCAAAACAAGTACTGCACTCGATATTAATTCCTGGGAACCGTAATCTTAGGCATGAAAATTTACTATTTCAAGAGAATATTAGCGTCGCCAAAATAGCTGCGTACACCATTGGATCTCCATAATTACAAAAACGCGTAGTCTTAAAGTTGAAAAAGTTTTTAATCGATTAAAAATTAATACAAAAGTGCTGTATAAAAGAGGCATCATTTACTTATCACCCAATTTGAATAATTAAATTTTCTTAAGACGGAATCGTTGGCAGTTTATAAGTATACAAATTATATGGGTACCACTATCATTTAAAAATGTATGAAAACTGATCCTTATAAAATCGTATAAAATCGAGCACCATCGTTTAAATTAAAGCAAACGGATAAACGTACATACTGTAAAAAAGGAACAATGTGGTATAAAATTGCCACAATTTTAAGTAAATCAGTGAAAAAATGCCTAGTTGTAAAATATTTGCTTGTTCTCCATAACTAATGCGTGTGCGTATAAATTTATAAAGCGAATATATTTTAAGTGTTTTCTGTAGGGACTCAATATTTTAAGCAATATTAGAAATGAGAGTTACATGTTGATATCATAAAATACGGCAGGAAATGAAATAAATTCATCTTTTAGCTGGGGACCCCGACGGTTTTAGGGAGAAATTCATAGAAACGAGGACATAGACTAAGAATCAGGTAGAATTTCACCTCCTCTTGAATAAGCGATTCCTTCAGTGTTCGTTCACCATACTCCTTGATGATTTCCCAGGCATAGTCTATGGAAAAGAAAAGGGGAAAAACGGTTATTATATAATAAATTGATTTAATATCCCTAACAGGGTGGTCCAACAGTCTCGCCCAACACCAGGAAAACTTTGTTTGCTAAGTTAACTATTGAATTTCTTTGGGAGTATTGTTTGTCCAAAGTTTGAACTGTGAAAAAAGGTAGGATTCGCCCAATTGCCCTTGCTCCATAAGGACTGACCAAAATTTAGAAGGGCCCAATAGGAGCCGCAAGGATGTGTATTTTGAGTTAGAAAAATCCTCAAAGTTTCGACTCGACACTAATTTTAACAAAGAATAATGTTCAGGATGTAAAGGTACTTTTGGTTAACCTTGCAGAAATTAACTAATTATATTATACCTTGCCTTCATTTTGTTATCAAAGTGCCTTAAATCAGGTAATATTACTGAATAGAAAATTCAATTGGCTTTAGAGTTAACATCATCGGTCATGCATGTGTTTTATTTACAAAAAAGTATCTAAAACAGCGAACGCTTCCATACGTGAACGAGAGTCACGAAATATTTGAACAAGTTCCCTTTGTCAATAATCACATTCAAATTTGTTTTTTGGTCTTATCCATATTATCTTTCTTCCATTAATTTAGACATGTTTTAAGGAAAATAAAATGACTTTTCTTTGAGGGTTTACCTATATCGTCCTGGGTTTGGTCATGGGCCACGACACAAAATCTTATGATGAATTTATCATTGACTTTTGAAGGAACCATATGCAGTTTTCCGGAATCATTAATGGCTTCCAAAAGTTTCTGATTCATTTTATTGACGGCTTCTATTGTCATTCCTTGGTTGCCAACCAGTCGGAAACACACTAAGCCCAGCTGAAAAACGAAACGGAAGTCGAAGTCAACTGATATCACTGCTTCTTTAATATTTCGATTGACAACTTAACACTCTTTCGATACTTGATAAATAAACGCTCACTCTATAACTTTTAGTGAATGACTTCCTAAATACAATTCTGTGAGAATCGGATTTTTTTATGAACGTTCCAAAAGAGCACATACATTACTACGAACGTTCATAATGTTCAATCTACATCTAAGAACATTTTTTAAAATGTCTGTCTGCAATTAAGAATGTTTTTCAAGTTATCTTCCTATGCTTAAGAATATTTTTTTAAAAAAATTAATTTTTGTCCGAGAATATTTTTAAAATTTCCTGTCTGGACAAAATATATTTCTCTGTTCTCTTGCAAAAATATTTGTTAAATTATCTTCCTACATTTCTTGAAGTTTTAAAAAATGCAGATAATTTGTCCATCTTTAGTGTGTATACTTCCTACCTTGCAAAAGTCTCAACCAATTTTTGTCTCGTTATAATATATTGTCTATTAAACTTTTTAATATTTGTTGGTTTTATTAAATTTTTTGTGCTTTTTTATAACATTCTGAATCGAAGAGAAGATAATTGCAAAATGGTTTACCTTGACTTCATTCGATATTTCAAATCTGGAATCGGCCAAGACAAGTTTCTCGAATCGTTTGGCCAACTCGCAGTGATGTCTTATATATTTTTGGAGGCCGGAAATCCCATAGGTGCGAAGAACGAACCAAAGTTTCAAGGATCTAAATCTCCGACTGAGAGGGATTTGCCAATGTCTGTAGTCTATCGCACCCTCAAATCCGTGCTTTAAGTAAACCGGGTTTACCACCAGCGCGCTGGTCAATTTGTATCTGTAATAATGCAAAAATTCTCATTGAATCGTCTAATTATCATTAGTTTTTTGTTGTTTTTTCGAATAGTGAATGTACTTACCTTGCCTTTAGCGAAAAAAATTCGGTAACCAAAATTATTGTCCCTTGTCGAGAGTCGAAATGCAAGGTATAATTATATCGAATCCAATGTCGCTCAAATTGCTTAGTCCCCAAAATGATGGAAAATGTGGTTTTTCCTTCACAAGAAGAAATCTTAAGTATCTTCAAAACGACCATCACGTGTGTAACACGTGTGTGTAACACACCATCAGTGTGTAACAGCTCAGGACTCCTAACATACTTTGGATGGGAACGCATTAGGAATTGGAAGATAAAGAATAGAAGTGGAAGGAGAGAAAGAGGGAGAGGAGAGAAGAAGAGGTGGAGGGTGAAGTAGGAGATAAGAAAGAATGAGAGAGGGAAAAAGAAGGAAGAGATAAGAAAGAGAAGAAGGAGGAGAAGAGAAAGGAAACAAAGAAAAGAATAAATCCTTCTTCTTATTCCTCTTTTTCTTCCTTTCTTTTGTTCTTTTTTTTTACTTTTCTTTATTCTCTTTTCTTTTTGCTTTCTTATTTTTTTCTTCTTTTTCTTCTTTCTCTTCATCTTCATTCCGTTCATTTTCCTCTTTTTTCTCTTATTCTTCTTTTCTTCTTTTCCTTCTTCTTCTTCTCCGTCTCCTTCCCTATTTTCTCTCGTTTTCCGATTTTCGACGTACGTTAGGCATTCGACGAGCTGTTTCTGAGATTAGGATACACCAATGTGAATTACGACAAGGGAAGCCGCCCTAAAGTTCGGCAAGCCACGCTCGAGGATAAATAAAAAGACAAACGCGCGCGGAGCAGAGCCTGTTGAGAAAATACCTCTGGCAATTTTTCATACCGTCGGAGATTGGAGGAAAATCGTATAAATATCACTTTTAGAGAGAGCAAAGGCGGAGGCGGCGGAATGAACTTACCGGTTCTTGACCCAGAGGCAGGAGCAGTCGAAGCAGGTGAGGAGCCACTTGTTGGTGTTGGTGCTGATCGAATCAGCGAATTGGACCCCTTTGAGGTAGGAGCGGAACTCCGGGCAGACGAAGGCGGCCCCGGCGTAGGCGGCGTCGATGTGGAGCCACACCGTCGGGAACTCCCGGCAGACCAACCCGATCTCCTCGACGTTGTCGAACGAGCAGACCGACGTCGTCCCCAGCGTCGCCGCCACGTAGAACGGGATCATCCCCATCGCCTGGTCCTGCATCATCACCTGTCCGAATGAAAACATGGTCGGGGTCACTTCAACGGAAACTGGCTGGTAAACTGCCACAATGGTTGATTATTGGATTTGATAGACATAGATGTGGACAATCATGATAAACAGTGGAGTGGCGTGAATTGCGAGGTATCAATTCTCATGCCATTTAAACCTATGGTACAGAATCGATTATTTAGTCCCCAGCGTCGCCGCTACGTAGAACGGGATCATCCCCATCGTTTGGTCCTGCATCATCACCTGTCCGAATGAAAACATGCATGGTCGGAGTCACTTCAACGGAAACTGGCTGGTAAACGGCCAAAATGGCTGATCATTCTGCCGTGCAACGCAAAAACGCTGTAAACGCCGTTTAACATTTTTTGGAAACGATGCATCATGGCAAATAAACTCGTGTACCTTGGAACAATGTTTTTACAGAATTCTTTTGCAAATACTATCAAGAACTTAACACGGAAAAAAATAAATTGCTGATTTACCTAACAATTGAATTGTTAAAAAATATGTCCGACATGTTTCAAATGTACATTTTACAAGAGTAGAAGGCTAATTTAACAACGAAGGTGGTTAAATTAGCATTTAATTATTGTAAAATCTACATTGAAACATGTCGGACATATTTTTTAACAATTTAATTGTTTAAGTGGCAATCCATTTTGTTCCGTGAACCTGAAAATTTGAGGTGCATGGGTAAAACAGTTTCTATTTTATGAATTGTTAACTTTCAAAAAACGTGGGAAAATCTTGATGGATTCACGGCGTTCTTGCTTAGCAAGGTAGTATTGGAGCTGATAGACATAGAAGGGACAAACATGATAAACAGTGGCGTGAATTGCGATGTATCGATTGTTATACCATTAAAACCTATGGTAAAGAATCGATTATTTAGGTGCTCGCTGCGAACACCCTGTTTATCGATCCTTTTCCATAAGTTTAAATGGCATGATAATCGATATATTGCAATTCACGCCCCGCCACTGATGATAAAGGGAAAATGGAGCTATCCTCTATTTGAATCGACGTATGCGAAAACGTCCGATGCCCAAGACAGTGTTTCAGAATTGAGTGTACGATTTCGTTGTAACTTAACGACATAAGATAGTTTAAGACGTTAGGAATGTAGAGCAATATCATAAATAATCCCTCAAGTGTAATGAAACGTTTACAAAAGAGATCGATCCTACTCATCAGTACCGGAGAGCTCTTTTAGACATTTAAATGTGAACTAGGGACCTAAGGCCGCTACGCGGCTAGCAACCACTGAAACATCTACACGTAAAAAATCATAGAGCAACCATATTTAAGTCTTTTAAGAGGATGAATTCAAAACCCGACGGGTGCACTAGGGTGCGTCAAAAAAAATGAAAGTCTGAAATGTTCCGCTCCCCAGGCGGCAATCGATGACGTTTGGTAAAAAAACATGTTTGCCAAAATTTGGGCCAATTTCAACCATTTTAAATGGTGCCAAAGGTCAATTTTGTGATGAAATTATGATATTTTGGTTTAGACCTCGATTTCGNAAACTGGCTGGTAAACTGCCACAATGGTTGATTATTGGATTTGATAGACACAGATGTGGACAATCATGATAAACAGTGGCGTGGCGTGAATTGCGAGGTATCAATTGTCATGACATTTAAACCTATGGTACAGAATCGATTATTTAGTCCCCAGCGTCGCCGCTACGTAGAACGGGATCATCCCCATCGCTTGGTCCTGCATCATCACCTGTCCGAATGGAAACATGGTCGGGGTCACTTTGACGGAAACTGGCTGGTAAACGGCCAAAATGGCTGATCATTCTGCCGTGCAACGCACAAACGTTGTAAACGCCATTTAACATTTTTTGGAAACGATGCATCATGGCAAATAAACTTGTGTACCTTGGAACAATGTTTTTACAGAATTCTTTGGCAAATACTATCAAGAGCTTAACACGGAAAAAAATAAATTGCTGATTTACCTAACAATTGAATTGTTAAAAAATATGTCCGACATGTTTCAAATGTACATTTTACAATAGTAGAAGGCTAATTTAACAACGGGGGTGGTTAAATTAGCATTTAATTATTGTAAAATCTACATTGAAACATGTCGGACAAATTTTTTAACAATTTATTTGTTTAAGTGGCGATCTATTTTTTTCCGTGAACCTGAAAATTTGAGGTGCATGGGTAAAACAGTTTCTATTTTATGAATTGTTAACTTCCAAAAAACGCGGGAAAATCTTGATGGATTTACGGCGTTCTTGCTTAGCAAGGTAGTATTGGAGTTGATAGACATAGATGTGGACAAACATGATAAACAGTGGTGTGGCGTGAATTGCGATGTATCGATTGTTATGCAATTTAAACCTATGGTAAAGAATCGATTATTTAGGTGCTCGCTGCGAACACCCTGTTTATCAATCCTTCTCCATAAGTTTAAATGGCATCATAATCGATATATCGCAATTCACGCCACGCCACTGATGATGAAGGGAAAATGGAGCGATCCTATTTGAATCGACGAATGCGAAAATGTCCGATGTCCAAGACAGTGTTTCAGAATCTGAGTGTACAACTTCGTTGTAACTTAACGACACAAGATAGTTTAAGACGATAGGAATGTAGAGCAATATCATAAATAATCCCTCAAGTGTAATTAAACGTTTACAAAAAAGATCGATCCTATTCATCAGCCCCGAAGAGCTCTCTTAGACATTTGAATGTGAACTAGGGACCTAAGGCCGCTACGCGGCTAGCAACCACTGAAAAAACTACACGTAAAAAATCGTAGAGCAACCATATTTAAGTCTTTTAAGAGAATGAATTCAAAACCCGACGGGTGCACCCGAGAAAAAGCGTATATTTGTCTCTGATTGCAACTTTATGCACCACTTTTATGTTTTGTTTCTAATAAGAGTTTTCAAAGAGCTACACACAGTTTTCTGAGAAGTTTCCGCGAATTTACCTACATGATGTGAAATAAAAGTATCGAAAATTTCGACGCGACATTTGCGTTCGTTCTATTTTCTTTTAATGTAACTAAAAAAAATTAAATATCTACCTAATTTCAGAATCCTTAAATGAGGATACACATTTTCCCTTTAATTGTGATAAAAACTAGGGCAGCAAGTCAAGAATGATGACACGCAGTCATACTGCATTTCTACAACCTTGCAGGCCCTAACATGCGTTTCACGTTGACTAACCGACTGTACTGCGTTTGGCGCAATGCGAGAAGTATTCATGCAGTCTTGTAGGTGCTAATATGGGCCGTGCGCCGACCGCGCCGTTTGGTGCAATGCGTGAAGTGTTCCTAAAGTCTTGCAGGCGCTAATATACGTTCAACGCCGGCCGCACTGTGTTTGGCGCGATTATTCTAACGCAAGTTCGAATAATCGGGGCATCGAATAATGAAGCATATAAGGTCCATGTTGTGTCTCGACGCCGTATGAGCAGTCCAACGTTGCCTCGTTCCTCCCGACTAAATATTTTTTCCGAGAAAAGTTAGGAAAGTTTTTTATGAATGCGTATTCAATATTTTCACTTCATTTATCATCAGAGGGCAAGACATCGATGACTTGTCAACAAACTAACCTGTACTAGCGTTGACATTAAAATGCGTTTATTTTTCAACTGTTTTCTGTTATGCCAAACTTCTACCTTAAATTAACTTCATTTTAAACTCGCACACTCCTGTTGTAGATATTAAGGTTTCTATTCGCGCAACCTTTTTGCCTTTATCGCGCAATCCTCATATATTTTCTTAGACCTTTTGCGCGATCCTGGATTACCGAGAGAAGAATGAGCTTCAATTTCGCCCTAAAGATAAACGATACATCGCAACTTTAAGTTACTTCAATCCTCAAAGCCGACTTTCCCGTTGGCAGTATTGATACAATGGACATTTATGCTAAAAAATAATTAATCCATTTATAATGGATATTTATGCTAAAAGGAATTATGTTGCACGTAGCCCCTAAACACATGGTATGCTTTCGGTATAAATATGTCCAAATCATGTTGCATTAGATTGAAATAGCGACTAGAGTCGATGTTTTTATCCCTAGATCCATATTTTAATCCAACTTTATGGAGCCGTGAACATGGCAGATAACAACTTCAAACAGCTTTTCTTCTACACGGAAAAAAATCTTTGGTCCTTATAGCCAGATAGTAGGTGACATTTACCATCTTGGATTCCCAGATTCGACCCCTGAGAACAATTTTGCTACGAGCACAAATGTATGATGGTTAGAAACCTCAAACCGCGATCAGGTAGGCGTTGACAACAAAGATGGTAATTCGCACCAACACTGCTGGGCGGGCGCGCCGTCCTCCGTAGACGTCCCGCACAGCGTTGCTGAGATAGACCTTCAAAGATGGTAAACTGACCCATCCGGATGTTTAGTGTATCAATCGTAAAAGCAAGGAGAACCTAATATTTTGTGTTTTTATCCATAAAGAGGAGTATTTTCTTGTAAAACGCACAGCTAAAAAAATTGAATACAAAGGTGTGCAATGTCGGGGTTCGCAGCTAGGGGATGGTGGAATAGGGTTAATCGCGTAAATAAATTTCGAAATCGAGTAAAATGAGACTACAGTACTTGTTGTGAGGTGCTGTAGTCGTATCCGACCTATCAAATTTTTTTGCCTACCGCGGAAATTGAACCTGGGACCTATCATACCCTAGCCGAAGACCCTAACGATTGAGCTATACAGTATGGTGAGAATCTTGTACAACATACGTAAAAAGTCATAGAACAACCGTGTTCAAGTTATCTCGGAGATTAATGGATTCAAATACCGTCAATGTTTTATTTCTGATCAATGTTTTTAAAAGAATCCACACTGTTATTCTAATGAGTGTCCGCAAATTTTCCTGAGTGATTTAAAATAGATAAAAGAAAATTTGACTTAAAACGCATAATATCCGAAATCTAAGCTCAGATTCGGCTTCCTCGTGAAAAATCGATGCAATTTCATGTATCATATGTCCCCATATCATGA